TTTTTTCATTAACTCATATAGTTTGTAACTTCCTTTTGGTTTCAAGAGTTGTCCAAGGGTGTTTCTTAATTTCCTAATAAAGTTCTTTGTTTGTTTTTTTATTATTTTCCTAATAAAATTGCTTAATAAATGTTTCAGTTTACTCATAAAGTTTATTATCATAGGATGTTGCCTATTAAAAATTGTTATTTTATTGAATTTATAAAAAATGTAGGAGTGTTTTTTCAAAACCTAAACTTTCTAAAATGAATCCCTTCTCATTTACAATTTCATGATTCTCATAATATAAAATTACTCCAAAAGGAGCTTTTCCATGTTGTACAATAAATGTGCAACCATCATTTATTTCATTAATAAAAAAGGGAAAGTTTTGTTGGCTAGCATAAATATTAATCAGTAGTAAATTCCTAATGCAATTTTTTCTTATTAGTGAATGATTTTTATTTAGAATCCCTTAACCTCTGAGTTTAATTTCATTTCTTATCCATCCTTATCAGCATGCTAAGAGTATACTGCATCACTAAATATTGCTATGAATTTTATTCAATTCATAACACTCTTCCTGTATTTGGTACAAACTAAGCTTTGGTTTAGTTTTGTTTCCCCACCCCCCTTCAGTTCCACCTTTTCCTTTAAATGTTTAGCATGAAATTTGTATCTGATATTTCTACATCTCTCCTTTCCTATTCATATTTCCTTCATGCGTCAACAGTAGCATCAGTGCTTTCATTAAGTTTTTATTTTGGGGGAGGGTAGAGTTAGATATACTAATTTAAAGATGTTCTCCTTAAAAATTATATTTTTAAGGATATATATATATGTGTGTGTGTGTGTGTGTGTGTGTGTATACATAGACAGAGACAGAAATATATATATATATATATGAGTTCTGATGACGTAGTGCCTAAGGCACTTGACTGCTAACCAGAAGGCTGGTGATTCAAACCCACCAGCCACTCTTCGGAAGGAAGGTTTGACAATCTACTTCGTAGATGTAGTAAAACTGCTTCAGAAACCCAAGGAGGGGTCGCTAGTGTCAGGTCTGACTTGACAGCACATGACAACAACATATATATATATGTGTGTGTGTGTGTGGGTGTGTGTGTAGAAACACTAAGAGAAAAGTTAAGTCACATAGGAGATACTAGAAGAAAGTTAAGACTAATTACATAGGTGTGAAATTCAGTAAGAATCTTAAACATTCTACTTTATTAAGTAGACAAATTAGCCATTATACTGATTTCACCTTGGATAATTTTTCTTTTAATAAATTTTATCAGACAAAAAAAATTAGCTAATATTACTCAACGTTATATTAAAACCACAATTATTGATTTTAATATTAGATCTGCTACTAAGTTCATATGAATTCTTTAGATTACCCAAGTATAAAAAGAAAATAAAAATATATGAAAATTCTAAGAAATAAAAGGAAGTGAATATATAATGACATGCTAGCTCTTTTCTGATTTATCCATATTCTTCTTCCAACTGATTTATACAATATTGGTTTATAGCTAACATGAGTTTCATTAAATGGCCATCAAAATTGGAAAAATGCAATCTACATTTAGTAAGTATTTACATTATAACAGGTACTATGTTGTAAATAATCTGTTCAATTTAAATCTTATGATAAGGATTAAATGTATTTTCATATAAACTGAAGTGAGAACCCTAAGGCAAGCAGAATTTTAGTCATCTATTAACTGGTTTATTAACACATTTCATCTCCAATGTTATCTCCTAAACCAGTCATTTTCAAGCTATCTCTGATGAAAGAAATGGATTTGGAATTAGTATTAGGCAGAGGCTGAAAGAAAAAAAAAAATCATAGATGGCCTTTAACAAACTGTTAGTAAAAATGTGAATTCTGCTAGTGAGGACTCATAAGTAAGTACAAAGCATGGCAGAAAAAATTCACATCATTTTACATAATACCTAAATCATCATAAGGAGCTCTGGTAGCACAGTGCCTAAGGCACTTGACAGCTAACCAGGTGGCTGGTGGTTCAAACCCAACAGCCACTCCTAGGAAGGAAAGTTGGCCAATCTCCCTCCGTAGTGATACTGCCTCGGAAACCCAAGGAGGGGTCCTTATGAGTTGGGTCCAACTCGATGACACATAACAACAACAACAATAAATCATCATAAACAGACTCTCAGCTGAAATATGGATATTAAAGGAGCTGCTGCTGAGGGCCCAGAAGAAACTGAAGAACATGTGTTAGAAACCAGAAGAAAGAGAGTTTTTATTTTACAGTGGCAGAAAATTTAGCTGAATCATGCCCTTAATTTATATAAAAAGCAGAAATGTAGGCAATGAACTTTAATGTTGAGCTGAGAAGATTTCCAAGCAAAGTATTAAAGATATGGACTGGTTTCTTCTTGGTGCTTATAGTAAAATTTGAGAGGAAGGAGATCAGTTGAGGAAGAACTAGGACTTGATGATTTGAGAAATTTCATGTTATCAGATTACAAAATGCTCTAAAATTAGGAGGCTAACTGTAGGGAAAGCAAGGTCTGGAAAGAAAGTTAAGGGTGTGGCTGGACAGTCTTTTGCTAGTGCCTAGTTTAGAAAGATAAAACACTCAATGTACTTAGTCATACAGAGGGTTGTAGGAAGAGACTATGTTTGAGATTCATGGACCCCCTAAACTACTTCAGCAAAAGTAAAAACTTAAGATGGGGTAGTCTCGGAAAGATGCGTATAGAAGAAGCATCATTTCTAACGAAATGTATTCCTGAAACATACATAAGAGACCCATGAGGCTCTTGAGAATGCTGTATCAGCAGAAACATTGCCAGTCTGGATTGAAAGGGACAGAGGAAAAATTAAATGAAAACTGTTGAACTTGCAAAATTCTACAGGCAGGAAATGAGCTCATTAAAAAAAAAAAAAATACTCTGTTGCAAAAACATGCCACCATTTATGAGAAAGGAATAATGACTCTGAAAGCGAAGCAGAACACAGGCACTGGAACCCCAAGCCATGGAGAATGATTCTCATGCCTTGGATTAATGAAATTTGCTCAGCTGGATTTCTCAATTGCTCAGGATGGATTGCTTCCTTTTCTCTTCCATTTTCCTCCCCACTTGAATGTCTATAACCCTTATCTTATGTCTGTCCCACTACTGCATTTTGGAGCAGATTATTTTCTATTTATCATATGTACACAGGATGGATTATACTTTAAGCCTCACCCACTCCCAATTTAGATGACTCAGATGATGATATTTGGGACTTCAGAGTTAAAATGACTTAGATAAAATTTTGGATTTGAGTTGATGTTACAATGGGTGAGACTTTCAGGGACCATAGGCTGAAGTGAATGTAATTTGCATGTGAGACAGACATTAATCCTTGGATGACAGAGGACACAATGTTGTAGGCTGAGTAATGCCCCCCCAAAGATATCCACCTCATAATCCCTGAAAACTTAAATATGTGACTGAAAATGGCAAAAGGGATTTTCAGATGTGATTGGGTTAAACATCTTGAGAGGAGGAGATTATCCTGAATTATCTGAATGGGCCCCATGTAATCAAAAAAATCTATAAAGAAAAGGAGGCAGAAAGGGTCAATGTCAGAGAGAAGAAATGACAATGGCAGCAGAGGTCAGAGAGAGAGATTAGAAGATGATGCACTGCTGGCTTTGAAGACAGAGAAAAGGCTAGAAGCCAAAAAATATAAGTAGCATACAGAAGCTGGAAAAAGCAAGGAAATGTACTCTCCCCTAAAGCATCATAAGAAATACTAGTATAATAAATTAATGTTTTTTAAGCCACGAAGTTGTTGTTGTTGCTAAGTGCTATCGAGTCAGACTCAACTCATAGTGACCCTTCTTTGGGTTTCCAAGGCAGAATCACTACAGAAGTAGATTGCCCCAATGACGTGAAAGTTCCTAAAAACCAAAAACCAAACTCACTGCCATGGAGTTGGATCCGACTCATAGCAACCCCTCCTTGGGTTTCCGAGGTGAGGTGGTAACACAAAGGAAGTTGATTGCCCAATCTTCCTTCCAAGGAGTGGCTGGTAGGTTTGAACCACCAGCCTTCTGGTTAGTAGTCAAATGCCTTAGGGACTACACCACCAAAGCTCCTAGTTAAGGCTTCTAGGGTGTACAAATGATTTCCCCACAACTACTAACCAGTTTGAACTCAACCACTGGTAACATAGAAGAAAAAGTCTGGCAATCTGTTTTGTTAAGATTAAAACCAAGAAAACCTTACAGATCAGTTCTACTGCATACCACATTCACATTGCTATGAGTCTGAATCAACTCAACAGCAACTAACAACAATAAGCCACTAAATTGTTGTTAATGTGCTATAGCAACAATAGGAAGCAAATACAAAGGCTTCTAATTTGAAATACAGAGGGTCTATACTTAATTTGGTAAAATAATTCTCTACAAATAAACCATATAATACTGATTTTTTTACACAGCAAAAAATATACTTCAAAAGACACTGAAACTAACAGTGAAAATATGAATATCCTGAGTATATTTTTTCTGTTGCGATCCATCTCATAGACATGTGGCAACTGTGACAACATCAAAGTAGAACATATCCTCATTCCAACTGGATGAATTCTGCTTTGTAAACTGAAGGAAAAGTAATTCAGTAAATATACTTTGCTCTTAAATATTCAACAGAGTTCTTCCTAACTGTTCATTAGCATCTGAAAGTGAGTAAGGAATGGTTTATTTAGACTTTGAATCCATTACTGCAAATGAGGGCCCCCTTCACCAAGGCCCCTCTCTTCAATTTTCTCATCAACGTAAATTCAGAGATCATACAGATGATTTTTAAAAAGCACTTCAACTTTTCTAGGGCAATGAAATTGTCCATAGTTCAGACAGTAAAACTTATTCAGTAATCAGCATATGGCATGATTAATTCTCTTTTAAGGATTTCTAAGCTTTCTGGAGAGTTATGATAGAATCATGTTAGAAAGCTAAATGGACAAAAAAGTTTTTCAAAACATCCCTTACCTGTGTAACAAGTGGCTCCAGCAGCCTCTCCACTGTTAAAGTCCGGATTTCCAAACTTTTGGGATCCCATTTCAAAATGATAGGTGAAGTTGCCGAAGTCATGCTCCCTATGGAAAGAAACAGACATCAGTTAGAAATAGTCATCACTGAAATAAACTGTTACTTTGGGGTACAAAATGAATCAGCCACGAAGTTTAGAACAGAAGGTTATCTATTTGATCCAACCTCAAAGAGCTTGAGATGATAAAACCTAAACCAGAACTGGACAAGGTGGCATTGTTGGTGTCAGATTAAAAAGCTAAGGCTTACTCCTAAGAGTACCTGCACATGTTAGGAAAACACTTGGAAACCACTGGTTACTATAATATTTCACTCTCCCAACTCTCGGTATGCATACCCATCTGCTTGATGCTAAGAAAGACCCTGGCTTCAAGTAGCTTACAGTTGAAAGGTAGAAACAGCCAAGTCAGCCAGCAATTATGCCTCAGTGTGATACATGGTATGATCAAGGAATATACGCAGGGCTATGGGGGAACTGAAGAAACTAAAGTTAGTCTGGGGGGACCTGCAAAGGCTGCCAAGAAGTACCATAAATCTATCATCATCACCAGATGAAGTGCCTCACATTTTAGTAAAAGGCTACTTGTTCTCTTCACATCATAACTGACCACTGAGGATATCATAATACCCCAGAGCAGAAAAGTTTCATTTTCATAAGTAGCAAACATCTTACAAAATGAGAGCCAACGGCTCTGAAAATTAGCTTGCTGCTATTTACACAGTTTCTGATTACTCACTGCATTTACATTCTCGTCCCATAAAATCAGTGCCTGATAAGGTTATTTATCTCATTCTATAGCAATCTTCTCTTACCTAAGAACCACTGACATGAAGGTAGCATCTTGCCACACATGAAGTGCAAAATATTGCACCGGCCTCAAAAGAATAAATTAAACACTCTCTCAGGGGTCTATTTCTCACCACTAAATTAACTATTATTTGATGCATATGTTTTGACATTTAACTACTGGAGAACCAACCTTAGATTGTACAAACTGAATCTGAATCATCCGTCTTAATACCACCATAAATCAAACTGCTCGTGGCTGTTCACTTCTTTTGAATCAATGTCTGCACTCAATTCCATCATTATAAATCAATCAATGATTATTTCTATTAGAATTAACAAAAGAAACAATGCCTATCACAATAGGCACTAGTAGAAACATTCCTCATTACTGCCCTGCTACAGCTAATCTTTTTGCAAACAGACCATGCAATTTGCTTCAGGGAAAGGAAAAATAAAAGGCGAAGACACAATGTGCTGGTATTTTAACTCTCTCCAAATGCCATGTTTTAAATAAACTGAGCAGAGCGATCCAACCATACAGACTGATTTAGATTTAGGTTCCTTCACAACAACAATACTTGGCACTGATAAGCTGCCTGTCCTCCAAAAACCTAAAAGCACTGTACACATTTCCCATTCACACTACCAACTGCCACATCACAGCTCTGAAATAGGCAGAATTCTGCTGCCGGCCAGCACACCTTCTCATGCTGTGGAAGGCGAGCAATGCCAAATGCTCTCTACGCAGACTGGGAGACCGTCCCTGATGGAGCCAGGCCAACTGAAGTAATCTTGGGCCAGTATGGATGACACAGTTATTGCAAGTTTCAGGAGAATTTCCCAGAGAACCATTTTCAAGCTTTGAGAAAATAATGAGTAGTATATAATGATCAGGAGCTCTGGTAATGTAGTGCCTAAGGCATTTGACTGCTAATCAGAAGGCTGGTGGTTCAAACTTACCAGCCATACCTCGGAAGGAATATTGGGCAATTTACTTCTGTACAGATACTGCCTCAGAAACCCAAGGAGGATCGCTATGAGTTGTAACCAACTCCATGACAGTGAACCCCTAAACAAGGAAGTCCTGTAGGGAAGTTGGATTTCTAGTACCCTGAGTAGCCATCAAGTCGAATCCCAGAGGATTCAGAGTCGGGCTGGTCCTTAGAGTTTTCGTGGGTGTGACTTTACCAAGCAGATGTCCAGTCTTTATCTAAGGCACTTCTGTTGTTGTTGTTGTTGTTATGTGCCATCAAGTAGGACCCGACACATAGCAACCCCTCTTTGGATTTCCGAGGCAGTGTCAATACGGAAGTAGATTGCCCCATCTTCCTTCTGAGGAGTGGCTGGTGGGTTTGAACCGCCAGCCCTCTGGTTAGCAGTCAAGTGCCTTAGCCACTATGCTACCAGAGCTCCCAAGGCACTTCTGGGGGGGTTTAAATCACCAAGCTTTTCATTAGTAGTCAAATGCTTAACCATTTTTCCACTCAGGAAACCAGATAACTGGCAGTGAAGTCATTTTAACATGACTGAAAGGAACTAGGTAAGACCATGTAGTGAATTTCATCATAGCAAGGCTGTGCTTTGCATATGAGCTGGTAGACACACACAAGCTTTTGTGGATGTTCCAATTCATAACTTTAAAAAAAAAAAAAAAAGCCCACTCCTCGGAAGGAAGGTTGGGCTATCTACTTCCATAGAGATACAGCCTCAGAAACACAAGGAGGGGTCAGTAGGAGTTGGGACCAACTCAACGGCACTGAGTTTGGTTTTTTTGAGTAACCCTCAAAAAATGCCAGGGTTTAAAAGAAAAAAAAAAAATGCCTAGAGTAGCCAGCCATATCAGAGGTACTAATCCAAGCACTGACCAGAGATGGGGGGTGGAGGCACCCCTTGAACAAAGACATCAAGTTAACTGTGAGCCAAGATCAGGGTTAGACAAATCTTTGAGTCTTGAAGGTCACAGAAATCTTCTAAATTTAGAAATGAAAGGATGAGAGTTACCAGACAAATTAGTCAATTTAATTTGTTTCTTTGGGTAATCAATCTTTTCAGCTACTTCTTGTGACGCAGGTAAAATTGAGTAGTGCAAGGCAAGAAAAGGTTACATGATACTCATTTGTTGAAGGAGAAAACCTGATCACAGAAACTTTAAACACTGCTTTCCCACCATGCTGTTTTTGCTAGAGTTGGACTAAACTAGAGGTTGGGCAATCCTACTTCCGTAGTGATACTGCCTCGGAAACCCAAGGAGGGGTTGCTATGAGTCGGGTTTGACTCGAGGGCACATAACAACAACAACAACAGGAACTATATAGCTACCCATTACCTTTTCACCATTTGGTCTAAAAAGAAAATTAGGAAAGCCAAAGGTGCTGGGGCACTGCAAAACCCCTGCCTCTAAACATGATATTGATATCTAAGCTCTCCATTGAACTGCCTCAGAGGAGCATCTTAGCTTGAAGTCAGCTACTGAGCATAGGCATGGCAAGAAGTTCCTCTGGCTGCAATTTACTTGAGCTAGTGAAATCCTTGCAATCTGCTGTTTCTAGAAGTGTTTTTGTCCTGCTATTTTGGGCATTTTCAGTTGCTTTCTACTTTATGAACTAGACCTTGTGTTTGAAATATTTCTTTGTTAAAGCACTTAGCCAACTGAATTTATATAAAAATAGGAAAAAAATACATTCTATTCCAGGCTAGTTATCATAACCATAGTCATCTGGATTCACCTATTGATGATCTTTGCCTCTAACATCTAGTAAGACTGAATGAGGGCAGAAAAGGGGAAAGTAGGCAGGTCTCTTTTAGAGCAAAGAAAGGAGGCAACTGTAGTCAAGATAATAGGAATGACAGTTTGGTATACAGCCGCCTCCCTCTCCCTGGAGAAGGATATCATGCTTGGTAAAGTGGAGGGTAAACACAAAAGGGGAAGGCCTGTAACGAGATGGATTGACACAGTGGCTCTAATGATAGGCTCAGGTGTATATATAGCAAGGATTGTGAGGCTGGCACAGGACCGGGCAGTGTTTTGTTCTGTTGTACACAGGATTGCTTTGAGTCAGAGCCAACTCAATGGCACCTAACAACAACAATAACTCCACAAGACAACTATTTAGCCTCTTGTTCATAATCCTCCCAATGAAGAAATGCATTCATTCTATTGTCCTTTTAATATTTATACATTATGAAAGATAAAGAAAATACATAGGCTTTTCATAGGTATGGTTGATTGGATGATTATTAAAAATAATTTCTCTCTCCCTCATCCCTCAAGTCCATGGGAAGAGAATATTTTCCTACCACGTTGATACTGAGCTTTGGCCAATGGCATGTTTAAGAAATACAACATGAGGAAAAGTGTATCATGTGCAAGCTTGGTTGGGCTTGCCTTCTTGCTCTTTCTGCCAGGAAATGATAGCCCACTAGTCAAAAAGAAGAAAGATGCATGGAACAAACCTGAACCAAGCCTGCAGCTAAGCTTAGTCCAGATAAACAAAGCCTGGTTAGCCAACCTCCACCAAACCACAGACAAATGGTCAAGAAATAAATGCTTGCTGTTGTTTTTATGCCATTGAGCTTTTGCCATTGGTGTAAATTAGACTTTTATTTGACTGCAGGCCTATATCTTATTAACTTTGTGTTGTTGGCTAAATTATGTACTCCTTATCAGTTCCAGTTTCTGCTAATGAATAATTAGGATAATTGTTATTGTAAGAATTAAATAGCATAATGGATAGAAAGCATATTATCATTTCAGGAATTATTTGTTTTTGCTATTATTATTTTCACAAATTTAAATATCATATTTGTAATTATTTCTAGGAAGAATAAGAAGGAACATACAGACATAGAGATAGAAATTTATACTGCCCTATGTGCAACAAAGGTGCTCTGGTAGCACAGCGGTTAAAGCATTCAGTTGTTAACCTAAAGGTCAGTGGTTTGAACCTACCAGCCACTCTGTGGGAGAATGATGAGAAAGTCTGCTCCCATAAAGATTTACTGCCATGGAAACCCTATGGGGCAGTTCTACTCTGTCCTATAAGGTTGCTAGGAGTTGGAATTGACTCAATGACAGTGGGTTTTATTTTGTTTTTTAATGTGGAATAACCAAACTGACACAAATGAGAATACAAGAAAAAAAAATAAACTATGTAGTCACCCAAATCTTTATCTTTCTAAGGATGGAATGATATATCCATCTCAATTCCACACTACACATTTGTGCATTTAGCACATTCAGTGTAATCTATTT